GAGGCGAGCTAACGGGGCAGCCAAGATACTCCTTAGTGGCCCAAGCAGTGCCGGGTGGATTTCCTCTATCAGCGTGGATCCTACTGGCTGTTGAATGGATCGCAGGATGCACTGATTCTTCGCGTGTACACCCTAGAATCGCTCACAAAAGGTGATAGCCTTCTGAGAGTTTGTCGAGGCGGGGGTGTTGTCCTTCTGCCGGATACAGCCGACTGATTCCCTTGTGGTCGACTTAGACTGGACATACCCGTAGTAGGCCTTAGGAGAACGCTTATCTTTCTTGGCCAGAGAAAGCTCGAAAGCTCTTTTGGCATCCAGGAGGATGCGTTCGAAAGACTCGTTCTCGTAGGTAATGAATGTGTCTAAGATAGCCGCCTGTGGCACAGAGTCGTTGCCACGCGGCCCGCTTTCTAACAAGGGCTTTTTTCATTCGACCGGATCAGCAGGGCGGGGTGGTCCGTGACTTAACGGGATGCAGGGGTGCGAAACCATTGGTGAGAGTCAGTAGGTTATCCCTGATCAAATCTCACGAATCCACAGTCCCATAGTGTGCTTCTGACCAGACCAGGGTTCGAGCCGCAGCCTGGAGACATTCGGGCTCCATGCGCCCATACCGTCGCTTCAATTTGACTTGCGAAAGCGAAAGAGCACAGCCGTATTGGCACCGGATACTAGCGTGGTCACTTCTGCATAGCGTTGCACCTTTGGCAGTGATCCTGATGTCATTCCTGATTCTGGTAAACATAAGATCTAAGGTGCTAGGAGAGTCACCCAGTCGCCCTCGGGTGGGGTCGGTGACGTGCTGGGTTAGCGCCAATTCATGCGTCACCTCTAGTAGCTCATCCCCAAGGCTGCCCACTGGCGCATACTCCATCCCCCATTCGATCTCAGGAGCATTGAAATCCCCCAAAACAAGAACGCTACTTGCCCGAGTTGTTGTGTGCCGGAGAAAATCCATCAGCAACTCATTTTCGTCGATGTCTGCGCTTGGGCTACGATAAACACTNCTTTTGGCATCCAGGAGGATGCGGTCGAAAGACTCACGCTGACGTAAGTACTGTAGGTTTCTTAAATAACCACCTGTGGCACAGAGTCGCTGCCACGCGGCCGTTTTTCTAATTAGGGCTTTTTTCATTCGGCTGGATCACCAGGGTGGGGTGATCCTCGACCTAACGGTACACAGGGGTGCGAAACCATTGGTGAGAGTCGGCAGGTTATTCCGGATCAGGTCTCACGACTCTACAACCCCATAATTTGCCTCCGACCAGACTAGGGTCTGTGCCGCAGCTTGGAGACTTTCGGTATTCACATACCCATAGCGTCGGTGCAATTTGACTTGGGAGGGAGAAGAGCAAAGCCGTATTGACACCGGATACTTGTACCTAGCGCTGCACCTATAGCAGTGTTCCTGATGTCATTCCTACTTTTGGTAAACACAAAATCTAAGATGCTAGAAAAGTTTAACAGTCTCCATCGGGTGGGATTGGTGACGTGCTGCGTGAGCGCAAATTCGTGCATTACCTCTAGTAGCTCAGCCCCAAAGCTGCCCACTGGCGCATTTATTTCATGTTGAATTTCTGAAAATCCTTGCAAACCCATAATGATTAATGGTGACATAACTCTGTCGGTGTGTTGATTCTCTATTGACATTTCTTAATGACAAAAACCATACGTTATTATTTATCTGGTAATTCGATGCCCGGCACATTTGAATTTGGCGTGGTTTGAGAATGGGAGCGACTGTTTGGCTCTATCTGGACATCATATTTGGCTCGCTTACTTGAGAGCTTTTCGTCGCATATTTGAGGTTTGCTTTATTGTACATTTGTAATGATTTCGCTAATTCAGTACCGTAGAACATTAATAATAATAATAATAATAATAGGTGTATATTTCACGAAGCCTGTGAGACATGCATAAGGTATGATCAAATATTCAGAGCGAGTATACCTACAATAACAGTGTAAGTACATAGGTAGACAATAATAACAATAGAATATTACGGATCAATCGTGTTTCTTTCGGGATTCCTATCGGTTTCGGCAACGCGTCACTCCAGTTCAAATTGGTTGACGCACAGCGCATACTCCATCTCCCATTCAATCTTGGGCGCGTTGAAATCCCTCAGAACAAGAACCCTGCTTGCCCGAGTTGTTATGTGCCGGAGAAAATCCATCAGCAACTCATTTTCGTCAATGTCTGCGCTCGGGCTACTATAAACACTCAGAACTGCTAATCCTACTCCTGAGAGCTTGATCACGCACCCGGCAGTCTAACAGTTCTCCGTGCACAGAGCATCCACGGCCTTCTGGGGAAAGTGGTCCGTCACAAGCAGTAGAGCACCACCCCCCCCCCAACTTATCCCCTGGACGATCGCAGCGATAGGCCTGGAATCCTGGTGGACAGAAGCCCGCTATACAAAAATCAGACTTGAGCCAAGTCTCCGTTATGGTGAGGCAGTGCGTTTGGTCAGCCTCAGCCCGGAGCTTGGCCCACTTGTTCATTAGGCTGCAGGCGTTAGTGTAGTAAACACTGAGAGCCTGCGCCTTCTTACCTCCTATTGCTTTTGAGGGGTTGCACCCGGGTGACCTTCAAGTTTTTTACCTCTGGTCTGGTGGCGGAGTTTCTCTGCGGGTCCACCGACCTATTGTGGTCTTTGTACCCTGGAGATTCACCCCTCGGGCCATCTCTGGGAGTGGGGGCCGCTTTCCTGCGCGGATTCTCGTGCCCCACTCTTACTACGTTGATGGACAGAAGCTTGGTGCTAAATTGCTGCCTGCGGCTGGGTGAGCTAGGTGAGGCCGTTATGTTATGTTCGCGGGGATAGTCCGGCCCTATGGTTACCTGCTCTTCGGTCAACTTCCTCACATTGGCGGAAGCTGCCAGCATCAAGTCCCGATGTCTCGGGNGAAACTCTACAAGGGTTGGCCTGGGTGGTAAGGTGCTGGTTGCCCGTTGATTGCCCTGCCAGTTCTCAAAGCGCAAAACTCACTTGATTCGCACTTCTGAAGGGATCTGAGTGAGCCGGAGGATGTTTCTAACTTGGTGTAGGAGCGTTTGCCTGCGGATGCGCGTTTCTCTACAAAACGGCTCTGGGATACCTCTAATAACGACAGTTCTGTATTTTCCTAGGGCTGTGTTGGTATACGCGTCAGGCATATCCAGGCAGTCCCTCAGGCTGGTGGTGAGTTCGGAAGGCTTCGTAATGGGGCTTCGAGAGCGTCCATGCGCTCATTAAGTGCCCCTTTCCCTGATGAACAGTGACCATAGGTAGCCTTGTTGGTCCGCTGCCTGCACGCTAAACCCTGCAGTTGCCGAATTGGCAATGCGTGCCTTAAGGATAGAATTTACCCCTCCGCCAAAAGGTGCCATTGACGTGGTTGACCGGTCAACATGCTCAGGATTTCCCACTAAAAACCATTCACCTTCAATAACTACTCCAGACTGATTTCCCTCCGCAGGAATCAGATTCCCTGGCTTAAGGTTACTTTTGTTCATCTGCCTACTCGGGGTCGAGTTACACAAAGCTTGTGCTACCAGCTGCAACGGGGAGTCCCGTTTCGGTGGTGTATTCGCCCTGGAAAGTCCAATAGCGCTGGTGCAGGTCGGACAAACCCATTTCAGAAAACTGTGAACAGCATAGTATTCAACTGCCTTGGACGATAATTTACTGTACCGTTGGTGAAACCAATCCTGGCACAGATCACAACGGATGCCCTCAACAACCTCGAGAGAACACTCTCTTCCGGCGCACGGTCAGGGTGCAATAACCTGTTTGGCTCGTGTATCCACTTTAGGAGGATTTCTCTGAGCTACCATGGCACTTGTCTTGATACGCTTCAAGCCTATGTCCGGTAAAAGGGGTGTGTAAAGATGGAAACCCTACACAAAAGCGATAAAACCAAGGAAAAGTAACTCTGGGTAGTACTCTTGGTGGTAAATATTGTAGCCTAGTCGCTCACCTGGACGGGAATTCGTCATGTTGGTCCTGTCACCCGGGTTCCGCTCAGTTGTGGCTCCCAGATTCAGATTTCCGATCTCCAGCGCGGAAGGTCCGGTATAAATCGCGCTGNCCAAGGCGCAACACTCGCTTGATCTGCACCTCAGAGGGGATCTGAGCAAGTCGGATTATGTTTCTAACTTGGTGTAGGAGCGTTTGCCTGCGGATGCGCGTTTCTCTACAAAACGGCTTTGGGATGCCCCTGATAACGACGTTTCTGTTTCTCCCTAGGGCTGTGTAGGTATGGGCCTCGAGCCTATGTAGGGAGACTCTCAGGCTGGTGGTGATTTCGGCGAGCTTCGCAATGGCCTCCTCGTGAGCGTCCATGCGCGCATCAAGTGCCCCTTTTCCTTGTGGCAAGTGACACTGGGTAGCCTTGTTGGTTCCCCTCCTGTTTCCGGCGGCTTGCAC